TGATTTAATACTAATCGAAATAAAACAAAATATGTCCTAAAATAATGTGTATAAACAATAAATCCCAAATTATATTTATTCGAAAACCTCTAGAGTTAAAAAAATTAACTACATGATTAACGCCTTTTAATAAATTCGAAATCGTTAAAAAGATAAATTAGTAAAATATATTATTATATCACCAGGATAAATCATATAACTTATCAAAAATATAAAAAAATAAATAAAATATTTCAGCTCCGCTACTTAACAAGATTCTTCTTAATATGTTTTACACATAATCTTACTTACATTCAAAAAAAGTAAAATATGGTCAATTATTCAATACCTGATTTTATAAATAAATATTTCTGTGTAAAAATATGTTTTTATTTATGTCTTTTATTTTATATTATTTTAATAATTTAAATTTTTATATTAAAAAAAATACTTGAACTATTAAATTATAAACGTTTTTCATTTAAAAATTTTTTTTAACTATAATTTATAAATTTATTGAAAAAGTAATGTTTTCAAATAGAGAAAATAATTTATAAAATATTTTAAACATAAAGACAATTAATTATAATAAGATAATATAATTTTATGAAATAATTAGTTAAAAAAAAACATATATAAATAAATAAATAAATAATATATATATATATATATATATATAAATATATTCTTTTTATATAATTATTTATTATTATAATTAATTAAACTAAATATACTTAATCATAAATTATTTCTTTATTTAATATAAATTTAATTCGTATAATTTTTTTTTATATATTTTATTTAATATTTTAAATTTATTTTAATAAATTTCTTATTTTTTTAATTTTATATATAGAAATTGTAAAAATAATTATAATATAGATATTAAAAATTAAGAAAAATAAAATAATATATAAATTAAGATTTTTTTTTTTTCATAATTTAATAAAAATAAATAATATTTTTTTAAATATTTTATAACATAAACAAATAATACTATTACCTTTTTTTTTAAATAAATTAAATAATTACATTCTATATTTTTAAAAATAATATACATCATAATTATTATAATAATAATAAATATAATAATTCAACTAATTAAAATTAATAATAATAAATTTAATTATATTTTAGAAATTATAATAATAATTATTTTGTTTATTTTAAATAAGAGTTTTTTATTTTATTCAAATTAATAATAAAAATAATAGAAAATTAATTTTATTTGTATTAAAAAAAAGATAATTATATAATAATATTATAAAAATTAGTCTAAACCATAAACTATTCATTAATATTAATAAACTTATATAAATTTGATAAATATTTTAATATTTTTTATAATAAAACAATCATAAATAATAATAAAGCTAAAGTCTATAATTCTACTAATACTAAGATAATCATAATATCAATAATAAACTAAAAATTCTTAGTAATAAGAGTCTTATTTATAAAAAATGGTTAATATATCTCTATAATAATAAAAGGGTCAGAAACTTTTATAATAACAATTAGTTTAAAATCCTTGTAAGAAAAAGTATAATACACACTTTAGTAATAAGGATAATAAGGCTAGTATCACTAAAATAAGGTTAAAACCCTCAGTAATAGTATAAAGTCTATATTGATAATGATAATGATAATAAGTTTATAATCCTTATTCACAAAAGTCGAAACCTTGAAGCTAAAATTATATTAGAAGTATAAGTCTTAATTATAGTTAGAATTAAGTATCTTGAAATAATTTATAATAATCATTTGATTTAAACTAAAATTCTTAAAACTGAATTATATAATAAAAATAATAATAGGAACACTACTTTAATAAAATAAAAACTTGTAATAATAAATAATAATAATTTATTTAATCTAAAATCATTAAAATTTAATATATTAGAGTTTATTATAATACTAAACTCTAATTAAAAAAATTAGTTAAATAATTAAAAACTTTAATAAAATTAACTAGTATCATCAGTAACCATTTACCCTGAATAAATTTTATAATAATCGAAAAAATATTAGGCAATTAATTAATATTTTCCTTTAAATATATATTCCAATACTTCTTAAGAATATCAAAATCTAACTTTTAATTAAAATAATTCTCGTTATTCTTAAATTATTTAATATAATTAAATATTAACTTGACTTATCATATTATTTAAGATAATAATTATTAATACTATAATAAAATTCCATTAACTTTAATAAAATTATACTAATCCTTCATAATAAATACAAAATCAATTAATTAATTCAATTTATCCAAGTAAAATTAAAAAATCCCAAATGAAAATTAAAGAAATCCTTAAGAAAGTCAAATATAACTAACTATACGAAATTTAAGAAATCTATAAATCATAGAAACTCTTACGAAAATTAAAAAAACCCTTATAAAAGTAAAAGATATTCTTAAGAAAGTCAAAGAATTCCTTAAGAAAACCAAGGAAACTATTACGAAAATCAAAGATTTTAAATTAATCCTTACAAAAATACTCTTATGAAAGTTAATAAACTCTTTCGAAAATCAAATAAATAATTTAAAAAATAAATGAATTCCTTTGTAAGATTATAATGAGTAAAATCATATACTAAGAAATTCTATAACAGAAGACATATTAATATTAAGTTAAGTAAATAATTTAGATAACATTGAATAAAAAGCTTATTTGGAGGATAAAATATAAGATTTAAATAATTATTTGTAGAAATTAAAATAACAAAATAATGATTTGAAAAAAAATAAAAGCCAATCAGATATATATATGTGTATTCAAAATTAGAAAAATAAATTGAAATAAAAAGAAATAATTTTATGGATAATATTAATAAAAATATATTAATACAAACAAACAAAAATTAACTTTTATTTATATTATATATTTCACAGAGTATATAGCTTAAAAGCAGAAAATTACTCCTTTAATAATAAAATAAAAGAAATCAGTCTAATTATCTTCTAAAAATCAAGAATTAGTTTAAAAAACAAAATAAGTTTATCATTTAAAAAATCGTTATTAATCTAATTATATAAATTTATAAGCTTCATTTAAAAATAATATACATATTGTAAAAATGAAAAAAAAAATTATATTATATTAATTTATAAAAAAAAAAATATAAATATTAATTATGATTATAATATAATAATTAATATATTTTATTCATTTACATGTAATATTTATATATTATTATTTAAACAAACAAATAAATCATATAGATTTATTAAAAAATTTCTAATATTTTTAATGTATATTGGTTGATAGGAATATTTTATTTATTTTAGATGATCAAGTTTATTTAATTATATCGACGGAAATAAACAAATTCACTTTTTGGATATATTTATGGGACTATATTATTTGTTATAAGAGTTTAATAATTAGAAATAAATTTTATTTTAATAAAAAATATTATTAAAAATTTCATAAGAAGAAAAAAAAAACAATAAATAATCTATCATTAATTGTTAATATTTTTTAAATCAGAAAATAATTAATTATATTTAATTTTTTTTTTAATTTTAAGCCATTGGTTTAATAAATAAAATATATTTTTATATATAAATTTTAATACAAATTTTTTATTTTAATTTATTTTAACAAAATAAATTATTACATAAGTTATATAAAACAATTATTTTATATAAATATTCTATGATAATTATTATTCAATTTTATTTATTTTTGAAAAGAATTAAATTTTAATAAAAAGTATAATACTTATAAAAAATATCTTTTATAAAATAAGTTAAATGCTTTTGTTTAAAAATTATTATAAAGAAAAAATAATTTTTTTGTTTCATATTTTTATTTAATTTTATATTTTATAATTTTAGTTTTCTTTATTTTTATATCGTTTTAAGATTCTATTTATCCTATTTTATCATTTTTAGAAAAATTATAAATAATATTACTTTTAAAAATATATAAATTAATTTTACTCTTAATTTGTGATTATATTTTGATTTTAAAACTTAAAGTATAGAAAAAATAAAATAAATATTTTTGGGTAAAAATAATCTATTTTAATAATTAATTAAAAACATATATCTTTTCTAAATAAAAAATAATATTTTTTCAAAAATTTTGATTCAACATAATTTAATTTATTTTTATGATTTTTAAAATAATATTTGTTTATATATTTCGAGTTTTAATTTGTTGTTTTATTTGATTTATATTTTTTCTTTATAATAATTTTTTATAAAATACATAATTCATTTCATTTTTGTCATTTAAATAATAAAATATTATTCTAAAAAATATTTTTTTATCTTCTTTATTAAAATTAAATCTCTTTTTTAATTTTTAAATTTATTTGTGATCCTGATTGTATATTATTAATATTTTTATTCTTAATATTTTTTTTATAAAAATATCTTTCTATTGTAATTATTCTTTTTTATTTTTTAATTTTATTTTTATTATGTCAATTTATCAATTTATTATAAGCTTTAATTTGTATTAATATTATTTTATTTATTTGCTTTATATGATTATTTTTGTTTTTATAGACAAAATTAAGTTTAAAATAAATTAACATTCTATGAAAATTATTATTAAATATATAAAAAAAATATTTTTATTACTAACTTACTTTTATAAAAAACTTTAATTTTTATGTTTTCTATTTTTATTTTCTTTTTGTGACTAATTTTTAATTATTTTTTGTTTTTATTTATAGATTTTTATAATCTTATTATTAATAATTTTTATTATTTTAATTTGTGATTAATTTTTTATTCAGAGTTTTATATAATTTTTTTTATTTAAAAGTTTTATTTTTTTTAATTTGTGATTACGTTTTGAATTTAATTTGTGAATATTTATATTTTGTTTTTAATTTATGATTATAATTTTTTCTATTTTATAAATTTATTCTAAAAAAACAAAATTTATTTTTATTTTTGAAACTAAAATTACAGAAAATTCCACATAAAAAATAAAATATATTTCTTCTAAAATAATTTATAAATAAATATAAAACTCTACTTTTTTTAATAAAACTAAAAGAATAAATAAAAGCATGAAAAAACTATCGTTATTATTCTTAATAATATTAATATAATAATCACAATCATAATCAGAAACATAATCATAACCATAAACATAACTATAATCATAATAATAAGAAGAAAAATATTAAAAATGCTTATGTTAAAAATAATTAAAATATCTTTCTGATCCATTAGAAATAGAAGGAAAAGCATCTGTAGATTTAAATGACACTTAATTTTTATTATAATTTTCTTATGAAACAAAAGATAAAGATGCATCAACAGCTCTTAAAAATAATAACGATGTTGTTAATAAAGTATTAGAAGAATTAAAAAAAGATGAATCATTAACTATTTCTACTAATAGTTTTTCTATTCAAAACGATTATGATTATGTATAAAATTAAGTTACATAAAGAAGAGAGAAATAACATGTAGGATATAAAGTTAAAAATTAGATTTAAGTAAAATCTTCTGAATTAGAAAAGGCTGAAGAGGTGATTTAGACTGCTATTGAAAATGGATTTAATACTGTTGATTTTGTTAAATACTTTCCTGATGATGAATAAATATAAAAAGTTAAAAATGAATTAATTGGTGAAGCAGTTAAAAATGCTTAAAAAAAGGCAGATATAATTTTAAAAGATCTCTAATATAGTGTTGACAGTTTAAAAACTTCTTCTATTGATTATTAATAAATAAAAGGATAAAAAATGACTATGCATGTTACAGTAGAATTTAATATTAAATAAAATATTACTGAAAAAAAGATAATTGAAAAAAATTAAATATTTTTTATAAATGAAAAAATTCTTAGTTTATTTTATAATAAAATATATTTTTTTTATTAAATTTGTGATTTTTTTAAATTTTCTATTTAAATTTATTAATATATTATCTTTATTAAGTTTTTTTTATTGAATAATAATATAAAAAAAATATTTTTAAAAAATTATATATTATATATAAGAAAGCAAAAATCTATTATTGTAAAAAAAATATTAATTTTAATTTAAATTAAACAATTTTTATAAAAAAATGAAAAAAAATATTAAAAAATAATTAAAATAAACATTTTTATTATTATTATTGTTTTTTTTTATTAATATATAAAAAATAAATGTATTAAAATAATTTATAGATATATTTCAGTATTTAAAAAAAAATGTTATTATATTTTTTTAATTTTCTTATGATTTTTCTATTTATATTTATGATACAAATTATATGTAATTTTTATATTTTTTATTAAAAATTTCAATTTATTAATATGTTCGAATAAAAATATATAAATTAAAAAAAAATAGCTTATAAATATAATTATATAAACTAAAAATAAATGAAAATTATTTTTATATTTTTTGATATTATATTTTATTTTTTATTTTTATAAATTTTTCTATTAAAAGAAAATATTATAATGTATTATTAAAATATAATTATAAAAAATTTTAATACGTATCATTGTATAAAAATAATTTATTAATATATAAAATAATATTTTTTTAAAAAATATATTTAACTAACAAAATAAATATAGTTTTTTTATTTTACAATTTTTATATTTTTATTTATTAATTTTTATTTTTATTCTTTTAATTATATATCATATTTTAAATTTTTATATTTTATTAATTTGTGATTATAATTTATTTCTTTATTTCTTTTTACTTTTATCTATATTATTAATATATAATATAAAATTTACAATTTATTTTAATTTATGAAACTAAAATTATAGAAAATTAAACATAAAAAATAAGATAATATCTATAAAAATTATTTATAAATAAAAATATATAAAAAATACTTTATTTAAAAAAGATTTAATAATAATAAAAAAATGAAAGTACTATCATTATTATTCTTAATAATATTAATATAATAATCATAATAATGTAATTAAACTGATTAATAATGCGAATGTTAATTATACTTAAGTAATCTATCTGATCCATCAAGAGTATAAGGAACTGCATCTACATCTTTAAATGATACTTAATTTGAAATATAAGTTTCTTACTAAAATATGGATAAAGATGTTAAAACTGCTCTTTAAAAAAATAATGAAGTTGTCAAAAAAGTATTAGATATTTATAAAAAAGATGAAGAATTAAGTGTTTCTTCTAGTGGCTTTACTATTGATTCTTCTAGTTATATTGATTAAATCAATGAATAAACTTAATAAAATGAAAGAGTTTTTGAAGGATATAAAGTTAAAAATTCGATTTTAATAAAATCTTCTAATTCATAAAAAGCTGGAAAAGTGATTGATGATGCTATTAAAAATGAATTTAATGCCGTTGATTTTGTTAGATTTTCTCCTGATGATAAATAAATAGAATCTGCTAGAGAAAAACTACTAAGCGAAGCAGTTAATGATGCCAAAAAAAAAGTAAATTTACTTTTAGAAAATCTAAAATAAAAAGTTATTGGTGTAAAAAAAGTTTATGATATTTATGAAAAGATAAATAACCCTAAAGACTCTGATGATAGTCCTATATAATTTTATGGTGGTTCTCGTAGTAGTCGAAATGAAAATAGGACAGAATTAAATTCATCT